GCACTAAACAGAACAACACATAAACCTCCCACCCCCACTCTTTTAATGCAGAAACACATTTCATGCCTTGAAATACGATATCATAGGACCCAAGAAAGTAATAACCCAGTACCTGTGGCTGTGGTTGTGTCTGTATCTGTGTCCATCTTATCAGATTAGCACTAGCAGTACCTGTGGCTGTGGTTGTGTCTGTATCTGTGTCCATCTTATCAGATCAGCACTAGCAGATGAGCTGTGAACATCCCAACAATGAGAGGCGAAGAGAAGATTTCGGCGAAGAGAGGCCAACATAAATAAATTGAAAACTAACCTTGAAGATGTCGGCGAAGAGAGAAATCGGTGAGACGGTGAAGAGAGGTCAAGAGAGAACTAGATGTTGGGGACAAGAGGAAATTGGTGAAACTGTGAAGGCCGAAGGTGAAGAGAGAACTAGATATTCGGGGGGAAGAGAGGCTGCGACTTTCCCCTTCACGGTTGAGACTTGAGAGGGAATGGGAATTGGGAAATGAAAATGAAATGAGTTAGGGTTTTTCTTTCACCTTTTGTTTGACAAAATTTTTTTTTATTATTATATTTGTGTCTTGGGTCGGGCCGGGTCGAGTGGGTTTTTTCGGGTTTGATGGGTTGACCCACAGCCCGACCCACTTATCCTTATAAACCACCCGAATCGAAATAAAAAATGGAAAAAATCGACCTAACCCGGTCGGTTCGGGTCGGGTCGGGTGGGTTAGCCAGGTTCGGGCGATTTTTGCCCAGCCCTAATCATAAGGCACCTATAAATCAAGAACAATGCTAGTTAGCCCGACTAATATTATGTGATAAGTTAAATGAAAAGTGGAATTATACTTATTTAATTGTACTTATTATTTAATGTCGCATTAGTGTCACATAGACTTGAGTTATAATTTCAGTGAAATTAAATAACATTACTCATAAATCAATAACAAACCCCTCAAATACTTTAGGCCCATCAAGTGTGGCCAAGGGATGTGTTCCTTTGCATTGTCTAGAAGAACGGAAGTTGTGTTTCTGCAATAAGTTTAGTCATCTTAGGAGCATTTGCCAACAAGGCATTGGTCATTCTTTTAGTATCTCGAGAAGCAGAAACCAATGAGGTGATATGACCCTATCTCGTCATCTCAGAGGATGTGACAGAACCTCAAAAAGTGCTTTCATGTCGTTCTTAGCTAATAGTTGTGTCACTTGCCATGATACAAAAGCGAAACATCTTCTATTCAGGTACTCAAAATATATAATTTGGAAAAACAAGTAGTTCTCGAAACAAAACCACTTACACTTGTAATTCTTCCTATTTTATATTTTTTTCTTGATTGTTTGGGTAAACTAATATAAAATGCGCATTTTTCTTTCTTTCTTTTTTTTTTTAACAAAGATGTCTACTCTTTTTGCTTTATTATTTTTATACTTTTGGTCGTTTTAGCTGAAAATTTATAATTTACAAGCATATCCACAGCTTTGAATCTCTGTACAAATACTTTATTGAACAAAATAATATATGCCATAATTTAAATAATAAAATTGATGTAAATAAAAATAAATACAAGATTTGGCTGGTGAAAATATCTTTATCGTAAAATAAAATTTCCCTGCCCCATGAAGAAAGTAGCCCAGGTGCTTAAGAGTACTAATTATCTTCTATAAAATTGGTTAAATATTCCTAAAATTATAAGACTTTATTTCTTTAATTAGAATAATGCTAATTTATTTTAAATGGTGAGATTAGATAATTCAATTTTTACTAGAGAAAAGAAAAGGAAAGAGAAATGTAAGCTTTTGATTGCAAATGTGGAAAATAGGTGGAAATAAAATATTTTACAGGGAATTGATTTACTTAGAAATTGTTTTATTGAGAATTGTAATTAATTGCGTTTGATTTGTATAATTTTTCATGGAAAATGTTGAAAGTTTGGTATCCGTTTGACTTCGTTTTTTTATGGAAATTGTCTATTAAAGTGATAATTGTTTCTACCATTGAATCTATAATTTGTTCCAATTGGTAAAAAATAAAATTGAAAAAAAAAATTACCACATCGAATACAATTCGTTTGACTTTGTT